CCCCGAGGTGCGAACATTGTGTCAGGATTCGATAACTAACTATCGTTGTAGAGGAAATATGTGAAACTATAATAAGTTGCTTTCTGTAATGTCGGTCATTGTGTATCTCCTGCAGGGTACGCCGAGTGACAGCAAAAACGCTAAAAAGAAGAATAACAAGAAGACCAACAAAAACAAGAGCAGCGTCAGCCGAGCCAATAAGAAGAAACCTGGGATGCCGAATGTAGCCAATGATCTGTCCCAGAAGCTATACGCCTCCTTGGAGAAACACAAAGAGGTTTATATGGCTTCTATTAGACATGATATACTTTCAAATATTGAACCAAGAGCAATAGCTGTCCTTACTATTTCAAATGAATACTCTCTCAGCCGGGATGGGACGGCACATCGAGAGGATGGCCGAGGCCCAGCAGAACCCTCTATTGTGTGCTTCTCTAACTCTCATGTCTGTGGCTCTTTCTCCGTCTGAAGGTGTTCTTTGTGATCCACCTCCACTCTGCTTCCATGGCCAACACCCTGCCTCCCATCGCTGACCCTGACCCCATGCTCTCCTGTGACCTGATGGATGGCCGCGATGCCTTCCTGACTCTGGCCAGGGACAAGCACTGGGAGTTCAGCTCGCTCAGGAGGTGCAAGTGGAGCACCATGTGCATGCTCGTCGAACTGCACAACCAGGGACAGGACCGCTTTGTCTACACCTGCAACGAGTGCAAGCACCATGTAGAGACACGCTGGCACTGCACTGTGTGCGAGGTGAGCTTCTTCTAATGACAACTGCTAAATAATACTCTTTGCAAAACTATTTATGAGACTTGGTTATGCTTCTTTTAACCACTGTGTCCCCGTCTGCCCTTTCTCTGCAGGACTTTGATCTGTGCATTAATTGCTACAACGTGAGGGGTCACGAGCACCAGATGGTGAAATGGGGCCTCGGCCTGGACGACGACAGCAACGGCCAGAGCGGAGAGGCCTCCAAGAGCCCGCAGGAGAGCCGGCGCTTGAGTATCCAACGATGCATCCAGTCACTGGTCCACGCTTGTCAGTGTCGCAATGCCAACTGCTCCCTGCCGTCCTGCCAGAAGATGAAGCGCGTGGTGCAGCACACCAAAGGGTGCAAGCGCAAGACCAACGGGGGCTGCCCCGTATGCAAGCAACTCATCGCGTTGTGCTGCTACCACGCAAAGCACTGCCAGGAGAACAAGTGTCCGGTCCCGTTCTGCCTGAACATCAAGCACAAGCTGCGCCAGCAGCAGCTGCAGCACCGGCTGCAGCAGGCCCAGCTGATGAGGAGGAGGATGGCGACCATGCAAGGCAGAACCATGCCGCTGCCGTCCCCGCCGGCCACAGCTGCTCCCAGCACTCCCGCCTCGCACGCCCAGCCAAGCACTCCTCAGCAGCCCCAGCAGGCGCTCTGCAACCAGCCGCAAACCCCCAACGCAGCGGGCGTCATGTCTCCGTCTTTTCCCAACAACGGCCAGCCTCAAACGCCCGTGTCCCAGGGCAAGCACGGCCAGGCCTCCCCGCTGCACCAACAGCCGTCCCCTCTCCCGCAGCCGCCGCAGGCCCCTCAGCAGCTGCAGCAGCAGCCTCCGCCCGCCGCGGTCAAGATGGCGCGGCACATCGAGATGATGGCCCAGGCCCAGCAGAACCAGCAGAACTACCGGGTCAACATGAATGGCTTACCCATGAACCCCCAGCAGCCGCAGCAGCGCATGACCGGGCCGATGCAGCCGCCCATGCAGATGGTGCCGGGGCCAAGGGGGCCACAGGTCATGCAAACGGGCTTGCCTGCAGGTCAGTGGACCGGCGCTCCGAGGCCTATGCAGGCAGCCCCAACTCAACAACCGGGCCTGCTCCCGGGCCAGACCCCAGAGCAGGTCATGACGATGCAGCGAGCCCTGATGGTCCCCGGGCAGCAACCTCAGCAGGGCCAGAGGATGCTGATTCCACAGCAGCCCGGGGCTCGGCCACAAACGCCCCAGAGAGCCGGAGCCATTGCACCCAACGCCTTGCAGGACCTTCTGCGCACACTCAAGTCTCCAAGCTCGCCCCAACAGCAGCAGCAAGTCCTAAACATCCTCAAATCGAACCCTCAGCTAATGGCTGCTTTCATCAAACAGCGAACGGCCAAGTACCACGCCAACCAGCCGCAGCAAGCAGGCCAGCAACAGCAGCCCGGCATGCCAACAATGCAGCCCATCGCCATGCCGGGAGGGGCGGTGCAGATGCCGGGGATGCCACCACAGCAGCCTCCTGCGCAGGGAATGGCTGCATTGGGAGCTCAAGGGCAGCTAATGAACGCGGCGCACAACACCAACCCCCAGATCCAGGAGCTTTACCGTCAGCGGTTCGCAAGGCAGCAGCCACAACAACAACAACAACAACAGCAGCAACAACAGGGAGTGATGCCTCAGGGCCATCCTGGCCAGTTCCCTGCTCCAGCACAGGGTACAGCAGCAACATACTCCCAGCTTCGGATGCAGCAGCAGCTGGTCTTGCAGGCCGGTTCAGGAGCAGCGGGGGTCCCTATGGGCCAGCTCCCACCCATCGCTCAGATGGCACAGCCCAGCATGGGCTTGGACTCCGCCAAGAACTTACTGCATCAGCGAATTATGCAGCAGCAGCAGCAGCAGGCCATCCTCAAGCAGCAGATGGGCTCCCCTGCCCAGCCCAGCCCCATGAGCCCCCAGACCCACCTGCTGGCCGGCCAGCCCCAGGGCGGAGCCCACTTACCCGGCCAGCAGACGCTGGCCAACGCCCTGAACAACCAGGTCCGCTCCCCCGCCCCAGTCCAGTCGCCCTGTCCGCCCTCGCAGCAGCAGCGGCCTCATTCCAGTCCGTCGCCGCAGGTCCAGAACCAGCCGCAACCCTCGCCGCAGCATCCGCACCCAGCACACTCGGGCTCCCCCCGCCCGGTACTAGGGGGCCCGTTGTCGGGGTCCATGGAGCAGGGACACTTGGGGACAGCAGAGCAAAGCGCCATGTTACCGCAGCTTAACACGCCCAACCGAGTGGGACTGAACAGTGACTTAATGGGCGACGCTACAGGGGACACTCTGGAGAAGTTCGTGGAGGGGTTGTAGCATTTCTCCCTGGAACTAAAGAACTCGCGTTCTCCCACCGCTCCCCTCAGACCCTTTATCCCATTTAAAGGGCTTTGTTTGCTCTTTCTAAGGTTGAGAACGTTTTTTTTTTTTTGTACTGTAAAGTTTTGACTGTTGTAAAAAGAAAAAAAGATAATTTGATCAGCTGGGGGGAGGGGAGAAAAGAAGAAAAAAAAAGTCAACACTTGAGGGAATGTAATTGTTTCTTAAAGATTAGTTGTTGAATGAAATTTAAACCACAAAGAATATATTTTTTGGTTGAGACCAAACGTGTTCAATACTCAATTTATTTTTGGTTTGTTTTCAGTATGGTTACATGCCTTTCATTTATTTTTTAAAGAAAATGTACAATTGCATTATATTATTCATATCTTTTTATTTTGTACCTTTTGAAAAAGAAACTTAAAGCATTGTTGTGTTGAAATTGTAAAATAATATGTCCGGGAATTGGGCCAGGTTTTTTTCCGTTTGTTTTTCTTTTCATTCCTGGCAATCGTAATCCAGTGTTGTACCATTACTCCAAGACGGTGTGTTCAGGGACCGCTCCCCTCCTCGTTGTGTGTATGAAGAGCACTCAGTTGTATTGAAATAGGAAACGGACTGCGACAAGTGGTTTATACACCGGCACGTATACAGGCACACATGATGACACGGACTCCGTCACTAAAGTAACTGGTTTCACAAACACCGACGACGACAAGTGCAACCCACATCTCAGCCACCTGGAATTTGGAAAAATCTGTCTTGCGGGTGTAGAACATTGTTGCTTTGACATTAAAAAAATAATTTGTCATACTTTTTGTCGTACAAATGTTGTAAAGTGTAAAGCGTGTGATGCATAACGCAGCCTGAGGTGGAATGAGCACAGCTCCCTTTGTTGTCTCTGACGCTTCGTCCTCTACAGGTTACACTCAGCGATGTGCTTTCTATGGATGAAGGGCCGACCTGAGATTCACCCCGAGGGAAACTTAAGTATCAACCCGCGTTCCTGTCCCACTAAACTTGAATTGGGGTGGGGGGGGGGTTACCTTTTCTCCTATTGTAAATCAAGTTACTAAGCAAAATACTATAAATATAAGGAAGAGAAAATGAAAACACTGTATAAACCGGTTCAAAGACTCATTTCTTACTTATATACCATATTGTTAAATAAACTGCAGCAGAAGATCTCCAGTACTCTTGACTCAATAACGAGGCATTGCTTTTGTGTACTACTTTGTCTGTTTCAGCACAGCAGTGTTCACTTTTCCTGTTATTTAGGTTTAGGTTTGTTTTTAAAGAAGTGGTATTGGGTCAAAACATAGCATTTATTTTAAAGTGTTTCACAACTTCAAATCAAAGGTTATGATCATAGTTTTGGGAGTTTTTAAGTTTACTGGCGTGGACTTGGTCTCACTTCAGATTTCAGGGTTACTAAAGAACAATCAAGTCACCAGTGAAGGCCTGTTACTACTACATTTAAGTCTGAGCAATTCCTGGTATCAATGGCGACATTGGGACTATAACAACATATTGTGAGGCCTTGAGTAAAAAACATTCAGTCCAAGCATGAAACATTTGAATGATCTATGCATTGTGATCATGATTCAGCTCTAACATAATTAAGTTATAAGCTTAGCAAAGGTACTTTTAAGTGGATCAAAAGCCAGGAGTTTCTTACAAAAGTACTCGGAATGTATTTGAAATCTCTTGAGTAAATATAAAGAGACACGGCAGTTGAAGTAAAAAAAACAAACAAATTTCTTATTTTTCTTAAGCCTGAAGTAGCGTCAAGATGAAACCACGTGGTCATAACGTCGTTAGGCCATTTGCAGTGCATCAAACGGTTCTGTGGTCCGTTTGGATCCATGATACCAACCGACATCGACCCCGTTCGGCCGAATGACCTGGAAGACGCGCGCGCGCGCGTTTGTGCGTCACGTGACCGGAAGCTGAAAATGAAGCGGTCGCGCGTGCTTTTGAAATGATAACAAACCCCGCTGTTTCTCTCCGGTTGCATAGCGCGGCTATGTCGCCCACATGAATGTAAAAACATGTAACGTTACGTCAAAAACAATCGTGACGGAGCAGCGATGAGGCGAAAGCCGAAGAGCCAACGCATCAAACCCGGGTGAGGATAAATATGCTAGCACGACCAGCTAGCCGACGTTAGCTCGCTGCTTTATGCAACTGTCCATCTTTCCCGAAGTGTTTGCAAATAGACCTTTCTGGATATGCGCCCCCTCTTTACACCAGCTCCGTCCGCCCGGCCTCCTAACGTGAGAGACCAAGTGCTCCGTCATGGATGACTCGGACCAGGACTTTGTGGATCTCTGCTCAAAGCTGCTAAAACGAGTCCGCAAGAAACCGGGCGAGTCCATACAGCCGAGGAGAAACCACAGGAGAGAACCCGGTGCTGCTGCTACTGCTGCAGCAGAAGAGGAGGAGGAGGAGGTGGTGGTGGTGGGTGGAGGCACCGATCGCGATTCAGGAGATGCCCGGTCCTCGGTTGCAGCTTCGGCAGGACCGAGAGGTTCGCCGGCGAGGGACAAAGTCCTCCACAGAATGCAGCAGTTCAAGAGAGCCAGTCCGCGGAGGATGGTGCACGGAGACAAGAGTCCGACAGCAGTCCCCGAGAAGGACGGTGTCCCTCCTCCACCCCCGAGGCAAGCGCAAGGTGAAACGACGTCATGTTCTTCTATAGAAGATCCATTTTTATTATGAGGCATTGTTGCCAATGTCATCATCCTCAGCATCATCTTCATCAACAACATCATCCATGCTTGAGATATTACGACCGCTACACCTCGTTGTAGGTCATATTTTGGGCTTTTTTGTCTGTCCGTAATGGACTTTGATCCCGTGTGTAGGACATGACGTGTACGCACAGTTGACCTTCCCAGTATGTGTGAAATAACACCTGGAAGTGCTCTGATGACTCGTATCCGTGCAGACGAGGAGTTTAAGGGGAAGAAAAATCCCAATTGGATCAATATCATTTTATTATCCCATTGAAGTCACAATACTATAATACTCAGCACAATGTAACTTTTCGCACACCTTGTTTAGTTTTGTATCGCCATCTCTCTTTTTTCAGGCCTCCACCCGGAGCCCGGGGACAGCGACGAGGCTCTGGCCCTGCGTCTGCAGCAGCAGCTGGACAGGGAGGCGGCGGAGGCCCGGACGGCAGACCTGGAGGGCCGAGGCCTGTTCTTCTGTCAGATCTGCCACCGAGCTCTGTCTCATATGACACCCGAGGGGCGAACGCAGCACCTCAACAGGTTTGGACATTGAGGTTGTAGGCGTTGATTCGAAGATGCGTTCGTGTGCAGAAAAGAGCTGATTCACTGCAAGTGAATGATCCCCCTCTACAGGTGCTTGGATGACAGTGAAGATAGCGCTCCAGCCCCTCCTCCTCCTCCTCCCGTTGTCTCCGACTGTCCCATCTGTGGCAGGAAGTTCAAGTCCCAGAAGAGTCGCTTGGCCCACCTGAAGCGCTGCTCCTCGGACATGGGCGTCGCTCCGGCTGTGCTGCTGCAGGCTCTGCAGAGACAGACGGAGGAGACCCAGAACGTCCCCACGGATCACACGCTGTGAGTCGGCCTCCACCTCCGTCCAGCCACACCGAAGTACTGCAATGCATCATTTGAAGCCCCCACGCCGTAATTATCTCTGCGCTATTGTTGTTAAAATGGTGTTAATGACGATCCACAAATATGGGGGGGTTATACCCCGGACTTAATGTTGCATAATTTATTGATTTATTGAAACAAGTAAACACATTGAACCCAACCACATGATGCTGTATTGCTGACCTGTAACCAAGTTTAATCTTCTTTTCTTCTCTTCAGCGCGCAGACTGGTGGCACTAAAAGAAAAGGCCCCCCCAAGCCGGGCCTCCCAACAAGGAAAAAGCCCAGAAAGAAGGATGCACCCCTGGATGAAGACACCATGGTGGCCCTGGCTCTGTCCACCTCCCTGCTGGAACAAGAGAAGCAGTCCGAAACAAACACGGCTGCCTCTCACACCTCCATGACTGCATCACTGAAGTGGAGACCAGACAAAGGTACAATGACATTAACAATATATAGTGTGCAGAGGATGCGTGAGCTCACAGTGACGCACTAAGTCTGGTATTATAATGCTTTTATGCTACTTTGTAGCTACTTTGTATTGTTAATGCACTTAATTACACAACTGCACGTGATTGGTTTTGAATAAATGTACTTTTTGCTGTTGATTGCTATGAATATTATTAAAAAACAGGCAAAATTGTTTCACGTATCAAATCTCTGCTCTGTTAAAACAGAAAAATTTGTGTAAATAAATCGGAACACAACCATTTGGTGTATTAAATATTAACAAAGCAGATTTACGCTGACTTTGATTGGCGTGGAGTTTTATATGCTAATAAGATGACCTGCGTCATTTCCCCCCGAATGGCCAAAGTAGTGCAGCAATAACGTCCGATCAGCAATAGATTACAATGTTGGTACATATATTTTGAGTCGACATAGTGCTAAAATATTGTTCTTTAGTCATCTCTTCACATGCATCGTCGCTCTCTCTGCTGTTCTGCAGGTAAAAGCCGCGGAAAGAGGAGAAAGGGCGGCGACCTCCGTCCTCCTCCGCTGCTCCTGGTTCAGGATGCGGCGGCGGCTCTGACGAGGCTGCAGGAACGCGTCTCTGCTCTCCTCCTGTGCAGCCGGGGGCCGTCTCCCCCCACCCCGCCCCGCCGCCCCAGCAGTCTGCCCGGCCGCAGCGCCGCTGCCGTCCTCTGGCAGAAGAGCGCGCTGCTGGGCGGAGGAGCCCCCACCTGTCCGTCTGATTTCTACACGCCAGAGCTCCGGGACTTCATCGCACCGTGGGAATCGGCCGCGGTGAGAGACGCCTGAGACGTGTTTGCATATTTCCTTTTTGAACTGACTCGGGGTTATAAATCCAAGCTTATTATTAGTTTAAAAAAAAATCGAATGCCACTGCAGAGAACCAATAAAAAAGGACATGTCAACACAAGTGTCTGAATCTGACGGGAACTTAACATTTCGTTTTCGTTTAAGGAATCAGGAAACATTTATTGCCAAAATATGTCAAACATACAAGGAATTTGTCTTGACGGTTGGTGCGTGACAGTAGACAGTGTGACAATAGACAGCAGTGCACAAGAAATAAAATGAAATGCTAATGCAATGGGTTAGTAGAATAAGGCTATGGGTTAGTATAAAACAAGAGAATAAAGTGACAGTGCGACGAGTGACGACAAAGTGAGAAATGACAGTAAAGTGACGTGTGCAGTGTGGGGGGGAGTGACCGGTGGAATGTTATAGTCAGTCAGTGGGGGACCGGCTCTGTTGATGAGCCCGACTGCCGACGGGAAGAAACTGTTCGTGTGGCGGGAGGTCTTAGTCCTGATGGACCTCAGCCTCCTGCCAGATGGAAGAGGCACAAACAGTTTATGTCCGGGGTGGGAGGGGTCGGCCGCGATCTTTTTAGCTCGCTTCAGAGACCTGGAAGCGAACAAGTCCTGCAGGGACGGCAGATTGAGCCGATCACCCTCCCTGCAGAGCGAATGACACGCTGCAGCCTGTCCTTGTCCTTGGCTGTGGCTGCAGCGTACCAGACGTTTAATCTATCTGATAAGGAACTGATAAGGTTCTCCTCCACTTCTAGACCGAGGCAGCCGCCAACAATCCTCCGGCTTCTGTCCAACCAGTGAGGGAAGGAACCCCCGTCCCCTGTTCCATGGCCTCCATCCTGTCCTCTTCCTCCCAGGCGTCCACCTCTCAGACGGCTCCCTCCACCAGCCGGGCTCTCCTCATGGACCTGATGGAGCTGGCTGAAGATGGCGTGACCCTCACCCAGTGTGGTCGCGCTGCTTCGGGCCCCGACGGAGGTATCGCCCCCTTCAAAGAAGTCCATTCATCTGTATTCAATTTAAAAAAAAGAGGGAGAATATTCTTCTCTTCACTTTCTGATACCAGAAGCATTTATGAGCTGTACTTGTCACCAAAGGATTATTTGGCCAAAAGTAAATGACTTTTAACGGTTCCGGTTTGGCTATTCTGTGTGGTTTCGTACCAAAATGGGCCCAAACTGGAAAAGCCAACCGTGATTGCACAATCCTTTTAAAATGAAAGTACTCGTTACGTTTCGGCTTTTGGATTCTAGTATTCTGCTCCCACAGACGGGAGTGCCGGTCAGATCGCAAACGTCCACCTGAGCCGCTTCGTGGTGGTGGAGGAGTCCGAGGAGCAGACGGACCTCCGCGCGAGTGGCTTCCTTCCAGAACCAACACGCAACACGCATTCACAGGGTGCTCGCTGGCCGGCGAGGAGGACCACGGCCGGGCGCGGCGGGGCGGATGAAGAGTGGGGCAGCCCCCGATCAGTGAGCGCGCCCACAGTCACACTTATTCTGACCATTTTCAGCCTGGATCCTGAGTTCCAACGTTCTTCAGCAGATGTATCTGTAGAATATATCCATCATCCCGCGGGACGCCTTTGGGCCTTCACCCTGCGCACCGCTGACCCCCGTGTTTCTCCTCTAGGTGGCGCTATCCGGGCTGGCATCAGACCTGAGCAGCATGGTGAACAACCCCCAGCTCAGTGACTTGCAGCTGCAGGTGGACAGCGGAGAGGTCTTCTTCGCTCATTCCTTCATGCTGTATGCGCGATGCCCCCTGCTGGCAGAAATGGTAAAAATGATCTGTGTGACCTGCCGAACACACCGTTCAAACGGAAGAAGCAGGACTGCATCGTTATGTAGGAATCTGGTTTCACAGTTGACTTTGGAATACATCATGTAGCCCACCTGGAAGGGTGCAATGAGATTAAAATGAGACGGATATTAACTTCCTATTAAGTCAGATAGACGTAGTAACGTCAAAAGACTTGCGGCACACGAGCGGATCAACGTTGTGAAGGGAAACGGACACAATAGTCATTGAGTCAAGGCGAGGAAACCAAATCGGTTCAGTATGTTCAGTAGATACCCAGGCATTCGGACTGTATCTATTGAACAAGCAGCATACGTTCTTTAACATCTGGCCAGTGGCCACATAGGGTGGGAGTGTGTCTTTTATATGGGCCTGCGCTAGTGTGTATGATCGGAAACCGAATGGATTTGACTTTTCACAAAATTGTTTACTGCATAATTCTTTGTAAACATGCTTTCAAAGGGGATTTTAGAGGAGTATCTTTCACTCTCCAGCCCGAGCCTCGTCCCGATGGAGGGGACCCGAGCACGGCACCGGCCGCTGTCAGCTGCTCGGGGGGCCTCGCTCACAGAACCAGGCCGTTACCGCCGTCTCCCCTTGTCACAACCTTGTCTTCTTCTGTCCTCGCTCCTCTGCGCCTCTCACAGGCACACGGAAGTGGTTTCGGGGTGCGGGAGGAAGGCGAACCTGCCACCCAAAGAGTGTTGCTGAACGACGTCTCGGGACAGGCGGTGTTGGCGTTGCTGCAGTATCTCTACGCCGCCCGCTGCTCCGTCCCGGCAGCGCTTCGGGCTCATGTGCTGGAGCTCGCCTCCAGGTCAGTCTGCACTATACCAGCCGGGACATTTAAACACGCTTTTCGCTTGCATTTCAAAGAATGTCATTTTGCATGTTGAGCTGCATAACGTTTTGTTAACTGGAAAGAAAATAGATTCTTCATTGTGATTCTGTGCCGTCTCACTGTCATTCTAAAAGTTTTACTAATTAGTTGCTAAAAGACGTCCATGAACCGTGTTGTCAGGTTGAATGTTGCGTCGCGCTGACGGCGCTCTTCTCTTTCGGGGTTTGTCAAGGTTTGACCTGCAGGAGCTGCAGTCGCTTTGCGAACAGGACCCAGACGAGGGAGACCGCGTGGACCAGGAGGAGACCGTCGCCGACCACACGCACCAGGCCCTCGCGGAGCTGCTCCGCTCCATGTGGGACGAAGAGGACGAAGACGGCGAGGGGATGGACGCAGGGGGAGAAAGGGACGAGGAGAGGGAACTGGGAGAAGATCATCAGGGCGATGACCTTGCGTCAGGTGACCGAGAGAGCCGCGAGGAGAAGGTGAACGAGGAAGAGCTGGAGGAGATCTACGAGTTTGCCGCCACGCAGAGGAAGAGGGAGGAGGAGAAAGACGGGACGGAGGAGGAGGAGGAAGAGAAGGCGGACGAGGAAGAAGATGGAAAAGAAGTGCCAGCGAAACTGACGGAACCCAAAAGAAGTCCATCAGGCGTCCGCTTAACCCAACTGCAGCCAAACCCTCAACTTGAGCCGGACCGCAGCTCCAGCCGCCTCTTCTCCGACTCCTGGGGCGTCTACGGGGAAGAAGATCCGTCCACTGCTGCCCCGGCCGAGAGGCACAGCCCCCGACGCCGAGGACCCAGTGAACCCTCCTCCGAACCCTCTCTGCTTCGGTCCTCAGCCAGCGCGGTCCACGGCCTTTCAATCAGCCCTCCACCCGATGCCCCCAACATGCCCGTCCCGGGTCGGTCTCCTGGGCAGGCGGGTGAGCGGGTTGCCGTCGCAGACGAGGTTACTGGCGACGTGGCTTCGAAGCGAGAACGTTCCGGTGCTCGTAGTATTTGTGTCCCTCAGGGAGAGAAGGAACCGGAGCTCATCGTTTTGTCTGACTCCAGCGAGGAGCTGGAGTTGGTCCTTAGTTCCCGCAGTCCTTCTCCACGTCCCCATCGCGCCTCCCGGAAGCTGCGCAGCTACACGCTGATCAAACCTCAGCCGATCCCCGACCATAACGCGCCCCCGCCGCCAAATACGCTATCGGTTGGTCTAGAGTTCGGTCCGGGCGATCCGGTGCCAGATCAAAGTGAATCAGGTACCTGGTGTGACCAGAATCCAGTAGACTGTTCTCCGGAGGTGTCTTGGCTGATCCCGTCCACGCCGGTGCAGCCCGGCAGAAGCACCACGACGAGCTCCACCCAGACCAAAAGCAGCATGTGCAGAACGCAACTCTTCCCTGAAGGGGACACGTCTGTTGTCTCCCCTCCTGCTTTACCAGTTAACGAGCGAGCGCAAACCTCCCCCGGCCCGGGCAGCGTCTCCGCCCCCGTCGGCCCAATAGGGGGCGGCGTTCGCAAGTCAATGCCAGAGGAGACTTGTCGCTCCAGCTTGGACCTCAGCCTTCGTTCTGGCCGACCCGGCGGTGTGCGTGAAGATCGAGCGGCGCGTGCGCCCCCCCCGTGCCGGCCGACGCCCCTTCACGTCCTGCCGCGGCCTTACAGCAGCACCCCCCTGCACGCGGAGCTCCACGAGGCCCCCGCCCCCCCCGCCACCTCCCCGCTGCTCGCCGACCTCGATCAGAGTTGGACATGTCAGGCAAAGGATCGGGCGCCGTCTGAGAGGCGGAAGGAGACGGAGCTGAGAAGCTTTCGTCTGTCACCGCTGTCCGCCCCCACGCAACCCCCCTCCTCCCCTTCCCACAGAGCTCTGAGAGGGACGCCGAGGCGAAGCCAATCCCCCCGTCCAAGCCGTCGCCCTGTTGAGTGCAGCGGTCACAACCACGCGGGGTCTGCGCTCGCGGGGAACAACGAGGGAGAAGCCAAAGACTCCGGCGCTGATGAAGGACGGCAGGAAGAAGCAGACGTCGGGGAATCCAGTTTCCAGCAGAGCTTCATGGACGAGCCCCCGATCGCCTTCAATGACTCGTGGGGTTTCGACGCAGCCGATTTGGGGGCGAACCCGGGCCGCTTCAGTCTGGCTCTGGAGGACAGCGGAGCATCGAGCCAGCGTGGCGAGCGCGGCGAGAGCAGCCTGGTGCCGCGAGGCGCAGCCAGGACGTCCTCCTCCTCCTCCACCGACCAACAGCCCTCGCCGCGGAGCCCGGTGAACCGCCGCCACGGCGCCGCGACCGCCTCCGCTCCGTCCGAAGCCCACAGGTCCCCGGCGGCCAGCGGCGTGGCAGCTCGTGGGGGGCTTTCCTTTACGCCGTCACCACCCGAGCCCCCCAACCAGGCCGCTCATGGGGTCGTCAGCAGCCTCCTGGACTCCAAAATATGGGACAGCTGGGAAGAGGAAGACGACGAGGATCTTCCTCTCTGTCAGAGGGTGAACCCCTCCTCCGCTCAGCTCAAGACACCAGGTACGTCGTCTCACTGCAACGCCGTGGACTCGTGTAGCTCACTGGAGTGCATATCTGAAGAAGAAGAAGCAGCATTTTAAGTCGAGTGGTTTCAGTTCATGGTTTGAAATGCAATCCACTGCTAACTAGAATAGGCAAGCCGCGATGAGGGGAAAGCAGACTTCAAACAAAGCCTTCCTCTTTGTGTCTCATCAGCATCATCACGTAACCAACGGCGCGCTACGTTGGTGCCCATCACCCCCCTGCCCCACTACTCCGACATGGACACACCGGAGCTCAAGAACAAGCTCAACAGGTCAGTCGGTTTAACTTTAGCTCTCCTCCCAGCGCGCTTAAACGGAGGCCACGTGTAGTTTATCAAGCCAGTTAACTCCTATCCGATTACCTGTCACCTTAGTCTGGCTCCCCCTCCCTCACACACGTCCTTGCTTACTTTCTCCTCTGTGCAGGTTTGGCGTTCGGCCTTTGCCGAAGCGCCAGATGATCCTGAAACTGAAGGAGATCCACCAGTACACCCACCAGCTGGTGAGCTCTGAGGAGGAGGAGGAGGCTCCCTCAGCGAGCTGCGCCGCCCTGACGAGGCCCCCGGCCACCGGTCCAGAGTTCAGACCGGCCTCCTGCAGCCAGAGAGTGACGTTTAAAGCGCCAGAAGCCGTCGCCACAGAGGAGGCGGAGCTGCTGTCGGCCTCTCAGGGCTCCAACTCGTCTTCCGGCGCCGCCAGCGGAGAATCTGAAAGGTGGCGCCGTCTATTCAAGTGTTTGCGTCATCTCAGGTGTTTTAGTCACGTTTTGTTGCTATTCAAATTTATACGAGATTTGGTAGTCAATTATCAGAGTGTTTTAGCCCCCAGAGCTCAATGATGTGTAATTAACTAGTCTTAAGATTACATGAGAGAAAAGCAAGAATTTCATCGATCTTATTTTTCATAAGAAGCTTCCGTGGACTCGTGATCTGTTCTCCCTCCCTCAGCCGGTCCAACCCGGAGCTGTGCCTCTCCTCCGACTCCGACAGCGACGAGGGCGTCTCCGCCTCGCAGTCAGCCAACCGGCTCAAAGAAAGCCTCCGCGCGGTGCGCGCCTTCATCCTGTCCAACGCCGAGCTGTACGGCCAGATCCTCAAGTACCAGCCTCTCGTACTGTCCCGGCTGCAGCAGCAGCTCAAAGCAGCGGGGATCCGGCTGGGCGCTGCCAAGCTGGTGGACTACCTGGACTCCCAGTGCATCACCTTCACCACGGCCAAGCCGGGCCGGGCCGCACCCGGCCGCGGGCGGGGCAAGAAGACGGGCAGGGGGGCAAAGGCGGCGGGCAGGAAGAGAGCCGCCACAGCCGTGATTTAATGACGTTTTAACCGCAAGAGACGGCAGAGTTGAACTGAAACTTGAGGTGGAAGCAGTTGTTTCCTCCAGCGTTGACCTCAGATTCGTTTTTTCAAAACTATTTTAAGGATGTGGTTATTGAACCCAACGGGGAAATAAGAAGATGGGTCACTTGTATTTATGTATAAAAATTGTTTGTGTGTGAGAGATGGTACAACAACAAAAACACCAGCTACCATCATAATAAATGTTTCATTTAAGTCCGATTTTATGGAAGAACTACTCAGGAGTTAAATGTCCTAAATAATTAAAAAAAAAATCCATCACACAAGATATTTTTGAAAAACATTTTACTTTCGATCTTCAATAGATTTATATCCAAAGATCAGCCGAGATGTACATACAGCCGAGGACACTCGAGAGGGTTCTCACAACAACTTCTGATCGGTCATCCGTGTGAGGAGGCGGGTCCTTCACAGCAGGGCTGTCACAGTTCGTCAGGTCGCTGGTGTTTCGTGGGGTTGGTTTGCGTCCTGCACTCAGTTTTCTCTGCAGCCGCGTGAAGCACAGGGCAGATTCCGAATTCCGGAGCGGCCTTTTGCCTCGCAGACCCTGGAGACGTACTCGCCTCCTCTTCACCCTCGCGAAGGAGCATCGACTTGGAGCCTCCCGCTTCACAGTCATGACAGGTTGGCGATGTTGGCAAGGAAGCGCTTTGCCCACCACTCTTCCAGGTCTATGGGCACAAAGTCTGCAAAGGAAACAGGAGCATCATTTGTATTTTAGGATCGATTTTGCCACATGGACCCCAAAGTATAATTGAACAGGAAATGATCTGGTCAACACATACTGTACTTAGTTGTTGATTGAGTAAATTATTATGACCACTAATGTATTTGGTGTTCCTCATCTTGTCCAAAAAGATTGGAAATCTTTTATCCGTTAGAGAAAACGTAGCGCGTTCGATGACCCCCAAGATCAGAGTCTCACAACATTCCTTCACTGACGGGAAATAAATTACTTTTAATACCACGACGACCAAAATGATGGCAGGAGACAGTGATCCCTCGTCCATACGGCATGTAATCGAACCACGCAGCAGACTGACCACCTAGACGGGGCAGTAGTGCTTACTACCGTCAAATGTTTGGAAAATTATGTTTTAGAACTGATATTTGCGGGAAATGAAATAGAATGTAGCCAACGTTAGTCAGGGAACTTTTAGGCCGATCTGGCAGCTGCAGAATTATTCAAGCTAATGTTTATGCACCAGGAGACTACGTGGAGTTCTATTTTCTTAGATTATTATGGTTAAAAGTTGTAGTATAGAATATGTGGATGTAAAAATGTTCAGTCCCAAGTGGTCAGAGTGGGTTTGAGCCACAGGAGGAGACGGGTGAGTGCGAGGCAAGAGAAGAGACTGCAATCCGCGGTTTATCTGGAACAAGCAGGTTGGCAAACTGGGAGTTAAAAATTAAAGCAGATTATTTAAATGGGTTAACCTCTGACTAGGGAAAAAACTGAGCCAAACACCCTCCCCTTTCCCCCCGTGTTTAAATAATCACTAATAATTAAAACATGCCTGGATTACTGGTTCAAAGTGCAGCGGGCTCCGAAGGAGGGGAGCGCGTTGTGTTTCGACACCATAAATCCTGGTAGCGAGATTAGATTTAATGAGCGTTGAGTTCCATTGTTGTTCTGAAGACTTTTGACAGGTGAATAAAGTGCAATCGCACGCTTATCGGCGCCAGGACTCACTCTTCATCGCAGCGCCGGGAGTCTTCTCAGCGTACTGAACGGGCCCCTGGCTGTCGTCCCCCAGCTTCTGCTCCACCTCCTGCCATGCTGCGAGCAGACAAACACACCATACGTAGATACGTAGACTTGGCTTCAGACATTGTGGGGAAGTTGTCCTTCACCCTTCTTTCCCTTATGTCTACACGCAAGACCCAAACCCAAATAACGCAGCCCCTGCACGTGTTCCCACGGAGATAACGCGACCGGTCCAACTCGTGTGTTTTATTTGCCAGGGGTGAAGGTTTTCACGCGTCACTCTCCGTAAGCCTCAAGGGACGGGCTGTATTTTACTTTTTCTTGCGCCCTCGCACTTCGAACGAGATGCTTGCACTCTTTTTTTGGCTATTCATAGGGAATTATTTGGGTTTAGTAACATATAGCAGCACGCCTCTTTGTGCACTACATGTACGAGCATCCCGAGTGGGACGTCAATCCTAAAACCTGAATGAGTAGCTCACGCTGGCCTGCAGGCCTCCTACGATGGAATACAGAGCCCTGTAGACGTACAAACCATGACCCCACAGGGTTTCAGGTAATAGTATGTGAGAATGGAATGAATAATATAGAAGATGTAAAGCCCCCGTATGATATTATAACAATACAAACTCATGGTCTCGGTTTAACATGCATAAAGATCAAATGAATAAATGGAAATAAGGTGCAAGAGAGTCCGGTTGATACACACGCAAACATACGTCTACACTCATTTCCTCCTCACTTTAGATAACAAGTATAAAGCTCGCATACCTATCAAACAGTTGGATGTGGCCATAGTGGAGAGTCAATCTAAACTTGACTTGGATTTGACATTTGTTGCATCGTCGTCATGGTGACCCCCCCCTCCCCCAGTAGAAGTCACAAAGTCTCGAAACGACCACACGAGTCAGCCTCAGAGCGGCGCGCGCTGGCTGCGACCCAGATAACCGGTTCATGCCGCCACGGCCCCACTAGTCATTCATTTACACCTGCTCAGGTAAAGGAGGTGGGGCCGGGGGGGTGGGTTGGAGAGCCAGCGATTATCTGCCCACCCCCAATGTCCCAGTTTCAATCCTCCTGACGTCTGACCTTCGCACACAAAACTCTCACCTTCGTGCACAAATCTGACGTTGTCTTCATGGTCGGGAGTGAATCCCTCTGCTGGGCCGGCGCTCTTCTGGGTGGCGGCGCCGTGGTAACGCTTCCCGTTCAGACGATTGAAGACAATCTTTGGGGGCGGAGAGCTGCAGAGAGGATCGAGGAAGGCGTCGTAAAGAAAGCACAAGCGCATCCCACGCGGATGGTAACAAAACATTAAGCCGGTTGCTTGTGGTTGGTCAGAGCGGATTCAAGGAGGCAGAACAATTTGGCATCAACGAAAACTCCAAAGTTCTATCGGAGCACAGTCTCCATTAGCAAGGAGTTCAAAGAAATTGATGTGGTTTGATGTGGTCATATCAACAACTGAAAATGAAACACATCTTATAGTTGCAATGCATTCTGGTAGATTGAGGTTTGCAGTTGGAACATAAATTGCCAGTTGCTTTTGCTTCTCCTCCTGTTACAAATTAAATACTAATTCAGATTAAAAAGTTTTTAAAAAAAAGTATTTTTTCCACCTAAAGTGCTGTACTGGAAATACACTCAGTCACCAGTCGATTAGGTTCACCTCATACAAACTAAGGTCTTGTGATGTTGCCCTGCAGAACATCTGCTTGCATGAAATCCCCACCCGGTCAGAGAAACATGAACTGTGCCTTCAGCCGGTGGTTTCTGATGTTCGGATGGGGGAGGCAGAGCTGCAGTAACACCGCCGGTGACGTGACTTACCTCGGAGAGAGCCAGGACGTCGGCTTGAGCTTCAAGTCGCCGAATTTTCCCTCGATTTGCTGCGTGGGACCTGAGAGACAGAAGCCGGAGTTGATGGATATACATACAGCGGGCAAAATGCAAACGTGCGCAATGCCCCAAATTCACCCCGTTTCTTTTTTAAATGGGAGAAAGAAGTGCAGTGATGCGATGTTGCGTCATGCCGCGGATAACGCACATGCACGAACCTGTCCTCCGTTGTGTAACAAGTTTGCTGGGACCTCTGGTGATCGTGTACATCATGTGAGCTCCGGGATGTTCCGTAGTGTCCTCGCGTCAAGACCCGGGCGCTCTTCTCAATGAGCAGGTGAGCGCATCGACCGGCTGACGCATCAACGACGATGAAAACTAATTATTTATTTTACCCCCACCACCACCCACCACCACCACCACCACGGGTCAGCTGCTCCGCGGTCCGCCTGAGCCTGCGGGAAGACTCGCCTTGACTTTTTGCCCTCTGTAGATCTGTCACACCACCAAACCGGCCGGCGCGTCTCTGCAAAGAAGCGCCGTCACCGCTGCTACTACGAGAGCTCGTGTAGGTCATCCAAGGAGAAACGCCGGGGCTGTCTCCCGGAGGAGGGGCTAGGGGGGGGGGAGACCTTGTGCTTTTCTCAAGTCGAATAAGGGACGTTCCAGGCCGGACAGTCTGCTCTCTGCGTCCCGCCGATGCACCGGGACCGACTGCGACACCTCCGCTCTGTGACGCAGCGCAGGGACGAGGCGCACGTTGATGCTTTCAATCGGCTCGGAAAGCTACAATGATTCTCCACGGTCAAGCCGGCCGGAGTTTAGAGCGGGACTTCCGGGAGGAATTTTCAAAATAAAACGCCATTGCTATTTATTATATTGTGATGACGCACCTATTTGATTACGAAGGCTACATGGGATTGACAAAACTTGTGGTTGATTTAATAATTTGAACTTTCGGTATTGATACAAAGGCTGTAATATGACACATTATAGATAGCTTGTTGGAATAACTATGTGCTATTTTACATTCTGTAAACAAATTGGGAAAGGTGGAATTTTCTTTAAAATGGTTAGGGAGTAAGATAGGGAGAGGCTATCGGGTTTTAAGTGTTATTGCTTCCTATTTACTATGAAAATTGAGTGTTTCACTTATCTGGCAGACTGACGTTGCAAAAGAATACAAGGTTAACGAGAGTGAACGGGACATGCATGTTTATTGTTGAAACATGCGGTTTACTATTGTAAAACAATCATATGTACCAACTTATAGAAAGGTGCATCTTATATTTCCTGATAGAAAACGTTCGTAGTACACTTGTACACATGTTTAGTTGCTGACAAGCGTTTTTATATTTGCAGCTTTTACTTTGAAGTTAAGTGTCTTCACTTCCGCTTTCTTCGTTGTTTCTGATTATTTAAAACGGGCAATCCCACTCAGTGACGTCACAGCTCGACCCTCAGCAGGAGCGTTTACCTTTCACCTACAGACCTGAGATGGACTGACTGAAATAAAGTCGATCCTTTTCTGCTGCAGGTAACAGATTATATTTAAAACAACCAAGAGCCTGACGTAAATTACTCATATATTTAAAGACTTTTATGAATGATGCAATATACACTTTGTTCTTCTTTTATTTTAGTCTCCAGTTTGACGCCATCCACTGTCGCAATCCTATGAGTATATTGCTGCACCCTTTTAAAGCTTCCCTGTAGATCACATTTATTTGACATTTATCAAAGATCTAATAGTCATCACAGGTAACCAGTGTCCTTACGATGAGCATCTCAGCGACTCCGTTTGGCAGCTGACGATCAGCTGAGACAAGTAGCTCAGACAGGCTTAACCCGGGTGATATCCCACACTCCATGTCCGACTCAGCCCCCCATTCATCTTTACTATCTGGGTCAATCACCGGAGACTGGGGGCCAAGAGGCTAATCATCAACAGTCTGCACTACACCAGCTTAGCACTGACCACAGAGGCCCAACTATGGTCACTACACTTCTGCTCTTCCTCATGCATTTATAACGGTTATAAAGCAATTATGGCTGGAAACACTGCTGTCGCATTTCCTCACTCCACCACATGACAAATTACATTTTTAATTAAATTTTAAATTTAATTAAAATTTTTACTTAAATTGTCATGTCTGTTCCGATTTAATTGAGAATATGCCAAATAGAAATGCACATGAGGTTTACAGCTGGGTCAAAGAACAAAGCAGTCTAGCTTTTACTATAGATTAGCCCCAGCTAACAAAAAAAACAAAAAAAAACTAGAAGGTTCTTTTTAGAATTTTAACAAAAGCACATAAAAAAAACATTCAAATGCCAATATCATTCAAGTCTGCAGTTCAGTATGTGCATTTATGAAAGTTAGGAAATGTTTATTTACACCAGATTAATGTCTGTTGCAGAGTAAAAACCAGACACTGTATGACACTATACCTCAGGTCTTGAAAGAGGCAGAAATGCAGAATCCTGAGTTGGTGAATGCATTACTCAAACGTTTAAGGTTTGTTACAGGTCATTATTGCTGGATATGTAAGCAACTACTCTCAATATACAGATGGCCCACAGTCTGGTCAGCTTGATGGCCCCAACCAAACACACATCGGGACCAGTGTGGCTTATGCTCTCATACCTGAAGCCACATCTTGGGTGTAGCGGCCGTCTGCCAGTTCCTGTGTGTGAGTGTTGGTACTTTTATTTTGAAATGTAATTAGCATCAGAATCACGTGGGCAGGTGTGCAGTGGTTTATGAATGAGCGTAGGCATCTAGGCGGAGTGATGGTTGTATGGACATGGGGGTGAGTCGGGAGACGATACTTTTTGTTGACCGTATCCTACAGCGCACTTTATTGCATCGTCGCACATCGTGTATCGCTTCGCCCGCTTGGATGTGTTTTTAACTTAATAAAATCAATGAACTTCATAGGAGGAATCAGCGTCTCTTTGGAACGAGTCCACACCAAACTCCCGTACTTAGCCTCACGTGACTCTACCGGATTGCAGTCACCACATTGGGTGAACAGTAGATATGAAAAGAGACTTCCCTAAGTACTTTTTTCATTATGTGTATGTATATTTCATTCATGTGGTCGTAAAATCATGCTCTGGGTTCCTGTGTTTTTTTCAATAATGGGGATCACAGTCTTCCACAAGGCTGTCTGTGATGTAGTTGACATGCAGCAGCTCCTGGTAGAAATCCTTCTCCACCTTTGTGTTGACCGTCCAGGCCACCACTTCCACCCCCCTGCGGGCCCAGTACTGAACATAGTCCCTGCAGAGAGGACACAGCAACAGAATACATTTAGAAAAATAGAGTAGGTTGGCTTTTGCTTTCCCTCTTCTCATCGCAGCACTGACCCAGTTGAAAACGTGAATTTCCCTTTATTGGGAAAACCAACTCTGGGGGTACTAATAAATATCCACAGTCTCGTCGTGGCGGTGAGAGAATCAGACGTTAACACGATGGCTGGTCTCAGCTGTGGAAACTTACTGTGAGACAAAGTTTTTCTGTATCAGGAAGGCCGAGATGCCGCATAGCTTCCACAGCACGTGATGGTGCGCCCAGTCCAACGCTATGTCCATCAGTGTCATCCAGTTGTGTTTCCATGGCGACGAGAAACGTGGGGCACCATCGCCGAGGCGACTCAGGCTCCATGGACGGTGGGTCAGTGCTGTGACCACTTCTGGGTCGCTCTGCCGCATCTGGCCCACAGTGGAACCGAGCAAGAGAGAAGAAAACAGTGAATGTTAGCGATACAATACACACAACAGCAATGCAATAAATGACAGGCCTATGCTAATAATGTAGTTTACTCATTCAGTACCAGTATGTTAACTTTGAGGAGAAAGATATATGACAAGAAGTCAGCCTGTTGCGCTTGTACAGCTAGCATTGGTGGCGTGCCAGAGATAAGGGGCCACAGCTAAAGCATTGAGAAATGGGAGTTTTGTGGTTTAGCAATGACAAACTATTTGTACTGGCACGGCTCCGTCAAAGTCAGGTTAAGACGTATCCCTGGAAATATGGTAAACACGCAAAGTCCGTCGTAACGGCATCACCTGAGGGGATGCTCCCACAGTGGGTACGCTTCATACTCATCATAGGAAACAAAGAGAATTTAGCTGATGGTCAAATGCTTGAGCCCAAATGTGGCCTTGTCCAGGTACAGTATACTACTGACCAGACACTTCCAAAAATAACTTCAAAAGACCTCGGTTACCCTGTAGATGACTTTTGGCTCAAACGAGCAGACGATGCTGGTGTTGTAGAGGACTGGATGTTGTTTATACAGTTCTTTAAGGGCTGCAGCTGCCTGGGAACAGAAATACAGTTATTAGTTAGTTTATTATGTGTGTGTGTGTGTTCCTGTGCAACCACTTGGTAACTAGCCAGTGTGTACGCGTAGACGTGTAGTGTGGACCTCAAGAAAATACCCCAAAACTCTTGTTTGTTAGTTTTGTTGGCTTCACCTCATCTGGATGACCTTTGACATCGAAGTAGATGGTGAGCTGTAGTTTTATGCATTCCTCCACCGCCTCCTCCAGAGTGGGGATCTTCTCTCCAGCGAACCTTTCCCTGGTGACCAAGGAGACAAAATCGGTTTCCCATGCAAACAGCACACTTAACTTTGAGTTGCTTATCGTTGTAAGACTGCTAATTGCAAATTGCAGGGCTCTGTGATAATAGCAACTTGGCTTTCTTGTTTCTGCATTGCAAATATACACATACAACATGTGCTACCGGCAAGAGCGATACATCAGCTGCAAAAAAAATGGCATGAAAAGCCAGACGTGCCCATCTCTCTGCATGCTTCTTGTGTGGGATCTCTTGTCGGTCTTACCTGAGTCGGTGTTTAGCTGCTGCGTCCAGTTTGTCCAACTCGGACAGTCTCATCTGGCTGAGCGACCCTGACCCGTTGGTGGTCCGGTCCACGGTCTCATCGTGCATCAGTATCGGGACACTGTCTGCTGAGAACTCCAGGTCCAACTCCACGCCCGTCGCCCCGTTCTTGCTGGACTAGAGAGAAGAACAGATCAATTAAAAGGGCTTTATAGGTTTCACATAGTTGCATACTTCACTCTACCGACATACAATCAGGAATCAGGAAACATTTATTGCCAAAATATGTCAAACATACAAGGAATTTGTCTTGGTGGTTGGTGCGTGACAATAGACACAAAACAGACAATAGACAACAAGACAGCAGTGCACAACTAATAAAATAAAATAAAATGCTAATGCAATGGGTTAGTAGAATAAGGCTATAGGTTAGTATAAAATAAGAGAATAAAAGTTAAATATTGAAAAAATATTTTCAATGCCAGTGTGGACACTTATTGTGGTACAGTAATTAAAGGGACATGATATTCTGATGGAAAAGTAAACTGATATTCTTAGTCACTGTTTTGAGCCCCTTTACCCCCTGTGCTACAGCCACTGAGGGAGGTTGTTTTGGTGAGAATCTGGACTGGACATGTGAAGTAAAACAAAAAATCTCTCCCGCCCTCCTCTCACCTCCCGGATGGCAACAATCGTGTTCTCCGGTGCGTCGTGCCCACCGCACCGGTGAGCGACCACCGACACATTGCCGGAGCCCACCGTGCCCTCGGCCGGGTGCAGCACCAGCCGGGCTCGGCTGCTCGGTACCTGAGGGAACCGGAACACGGCCACAAAGAGGTAGAGCGAGGCAGTGAGCGCGGTGGTCCACACCGGGCTGCGGGTCCCCAGCAGGACCAGCACGAACACGACCGAGTAGAGGGTGACATCGTCCCCTAGCTGCAGCATTGTTGTCCCCGTTGGTCCGTCTATCTTGAGCGTGTCAAACGGACAGGACGTCAGTTTAGCGCTGACGCCGAGGGCTAAATTAGCCAGCTAGCTAACGTTTGCAAGCGACAGCTAGTTCAGCTAGCTAAGCGTTAGCAAGCGACAGCTAGTTCAGCTAGCTAACGTCAGCTACCCGTCCTGCTAGGTATATTTTCTGTGATATAAGGGCACGCTCAGCGTGGACAGCAGGTAAAACAATGGTTACTCGGGCAGATCGATGAGACGCCTCCGAGCAGAGAGAAACCCTGCCAGTGGTCATTCAGTAACGATATACGAGAAACAGGAACTCCGTTTTCACGTTACGGCGGATGTGACAACTCTGCCGCAAGCTATGCGTCTCTTCCGCGAGCTGAATACTTTTAAAGCAAGATGTTACATGTTGGGATTCTTACACATGAAATGCATTTTATTCTAAGGGTAGTTTACAACTGGCTCTTAAGAGGGCGAATAAAGCACCAACCGGCTGCTGAGTACATCCGGGTCAGAGGGTTTCAGTCGTGTTAGCTAACGTTAGCCGAACAGCTCGCATGTCTCTGACTTCGACTTTTTTCGTTTCTTCTTCCATTAAGCCTGTCATCGATCATGGTGAGCCCCTTTCTCCCATATAATCGTGTATTGCTTTCACTGTTTTGCAAGAGATATGTAAAATAATATGAAGGTTGAATTGAGCCGCATAGTTAATTAACCACCCGGCTTTCCTGTCGCTACTGTATTCCAGCCTGATTAGGATGATCTGTCTCTAACTTGTTTATTCATTACCTTAAATGTTTGCCTACCCTCGCTTCTCCGTGTTACGTTACTTCTCATAATGAAGCTAATGCAAACCAAACGGGTGCATGTGCTCGGTCGCTTATGTTAGTGTGTTGATGTCTTTAGTCTTACTGGCTGCATGTCTCCTTGAGGACTGAACCGGAAATTAAAAGAAGTCACTCAAAGTCACAAAAAAATGCACAACGTTATGCAATCAAATAGCCCAGTTACCAATGTTTACATTTTATTGGGACCTCTTGAGTTTTAGCTTGTGAGATATGTTTGTGTTGATGGATTGCATGTCATTGTGAAATTACGCTTATTTTCACTATCAATTAATCTCCTGAATATTATCTTGCTTAATAGTTTGTATTGTAGAATATACCGGAGTATAGTTTGAAAAACAATGGCATTGTTTTGTCCGACCAACAGTAGCTCTCGGTTTAGTGTCCCGGGTAATTCAGCCGCACCTCAGATGTTCATATATGTAACGCTGAAACCAGTGATGTATTGCATTTTGGCTTTAGAAGTTATATTAAATGCTTTATTACATTTTTTGCTGATACCTTTTCTGACCACCCAATGTGCAAATATCCTTTTCTCTTGAGTATCAAACGCATCTGCTATTTTTCTACAGATCAGGACAGTGCTGCTGTGCAGATTTACTTCAAATATCCTCCTTCAGACATCCTGCTCCAGAGGATCATGTCTACTTACAGGTCGGACAACTTATGGGGTGCAGCCTCATTCACCAGGCCGCACACCCTCTCAGCACAGCTTCCCGGGACCCCACCTACCTAAAATCACAGCCCTGGTCAGGTGCTCGGACGCTTCCGCAAACAGATACTCTTTGATTTACACCCTGCCGCACATTCGGCTCCTCAGAGCCGTGTCCAGGCTGAAACTGCTGCAAACTGCAATCACCGTGGTCATCTTGCCCCCCGTGTACCTCTTCTACTTCCAGGGAGCCGTCCCGTTCGCTCTTGTCAGCTACACAACTGGTATAGCGTTGCTTGCTGGTGTCATGCTCTTCACTGCCAGTCACTTCTTCAGGAGGGTTGTGGGGATGATGTACCTAGACCCTCCTCAGACCACGCTCAAAGTGTCCCACCTCACCTTTTGGGGCAGGCGCCATGACCTCTACCTCCCCGTGTCAGATGTTATGACCATCGGGGATACGGGCGACTCTGTCAACGAGACAATAGTGAAACTCAAGAGATTCAGCAGTCCACAGACGCTGTATTTCTCCACTCGTTTTGGACGTGTGGTGGACAAACAGGCTTTTGAGAAGGTGTTTGGAACTTACAAATGATAGTTTGCTCAAAATGTACGAATAGTCAACAATGAATTGTCCTAATAATACGGTGTAACTTGTTATGATGAGGAGGATGTGTTCTCTTGTAAGACTGTCGCTAGTATAAACATTGAAATAAGTTAGCGGTCTTTTGTCTTATGAGTCCACAGTGAATAATTAGCTAATTCATGAATAAAGCTCGTGGCTGGATTGTAAATATAGATATTTGTTGGACTACTGAGTGACCACTACCGTAAGAGTACAGATTCATTTGGTTTTCAACCAGGGACTTAACGCGTGAAGGAAAAAAACTGTGACAAAAGTAAAAGAAACCCACTAGAAACTGTGTTTGTGTGTGGAAAGTAACTTATTTTTTAAGGAGCTAATTGCAAATCCCATATGTTCTGCTGTCTAGTTTAGGATTTTGAAGTTTTGCAAAAACACACATCCATGACACTTAATCCATGACACTTAAGATAATCTTCACAAATATACAACACGATTTCATTTTGAAACAAAAAGCCGATTGTCAGAAATCAAAAGCTTTAAAAGCTTAAGGCTGTAAACAGGCTTTGGTTGTCTGATTTAGTCACTTGTTAGCAGCCGACTCTTGAAAGACACGTAAAGGATGAAACATTTCCAGAAGGGTCATTTAAGAGACCTACTTAGATACCGTTCAGTCAACCGGCAGTTCCCTCAACACAAAGTTCTTGAAACATCCTAAACAGCTTTTAAATCCGCGTTTGATGCACAGCTTCGTTCCCACAGACGCTGCAGTCTGAAATGATGCTGTACACCAAACTAGCGTTAAAGGATTTTCTGGGGCGCCTCATTCCAACATCTGTTTGAAATGAGCAGCACACTCGGCCGATCTTCATGTTTCGACCCCGACCACAATGTGGCAGCAGCATGCAGCAAAAGGCTCCTGTGTAGCAAACCCAGCCACTCTTATTGTCCCTCTCTTAAGTACTATCTGTTGTGGAATGATCGCATGGACCACGATGCATTTGGACAAATTTGGTAAAATTCAATCCAAATGCATCGTGGTCCATGCGATAATGGGCCACAGGCCCTAGAACAAGATGTTTAAATGTTTTCTGCTTGTGTTACCTACACATATTCATTGTTGCATTGTATCTATCAGCTGGGCCGAGTGTCACTTTATGAAATGGTGACTATGTTCTGTATTTCTCCTCTAGCCTGACATATGAATATGTATATAAACGTGATTATGCACAGCGAGCACCACCATCATCCATCGGAAACGTTAAACCTCATGATGGTTAACTATTCAGTTATATCCCAACATTCTTCGCAAAGGCTTGAATACAAATAAATAAACACGAATGGTTTGTATTCTCGCTGTTTAGATAACAGCTGTTTAAAATCTAAACGTCAGTCTGAAATGTGCGACAGATTGAACTGGATGTTGTTGTGCGGTTGCCGTCACACCCCAGATAAAAAACATAACAAAAAACCACCCAGTCCACCTGTGGGCTTCCAGAAGATTACTTGAGAACACGAACAAAGGAACAAAGGTCCGGGAATGGAGTTTTTTCCTCTACAAAGATCTCTGTGCATTGAAAGGGATTCTGGCAGCCCAACGGACTTCTTTCATGTCTTGAAGGGCCCTGGAGAGTCCTGCCCCACTGAAGGAAAACCCCACTTAGTTGTTGCTGTCCTGCTGCAAAACGTGCAACTACAGACCCACCTCTGTTTGTTTTTGTCATTGTTAATAACAGAGACGAGCTTCCTATGATCAACAATATTGCATTGACCTCGACTCCATCCCCGCTGGATTGATTCTGCTTTCATATTCAATACAATTTCCTGTGTTTATGAAGGTTTTGTCCGCTTTTCTCTGACCGATTAGTCATCAACAATAAATAGGAAAGCACATGCAGTGTTTTTAGAAATGATGTGTGACACTCTTTAAGTATGCCGGACTACTGGTGTTTTCCCAAAGAGGGAATTATCACAGTGCAACCTGCATACCGCCGTGTTTGCATCACTCCCCTGTAGTGCTTAACTATGGCTATTACTCCCTGGGGTTTACACGCCACTGAAAGGATCAATTGTCCAGCCATGCTACATCTTGGTAATCGCACATCTATCACGCAGGCAGTTTGTTCCCTAACATTGTTTACCACATTCCAGATTGCCTTTGGCACAATATTTTGGATCATTATTACACAAAAGGGAAACCTTCCTGTCTGTGAAGGATTTCCTCTTCTTTTCAATAAGCAGAAGGCTAAAATAATACAGTTTGACTCTTTATGCTGTGGTTCATTTTAGATTTGCTAGACCATTATTTGATAATAGTAGAAACAGTGTGGGGCTGATTTCCTTCTTGTTCTTTGAACTTTTACTCGTGTTTGACCTTGACCAATTATCCAAAATCACTGCTTAACATAAAACAATAATCATACAACATCAAAACAATACACAATTAGCAACGTTTTCCTTAATGAGGTGTCATTGGCACAGGATTTGGAAGATTGGAAACAGCTTTGGAGGCGGAGGCCCATTCTCTCCGATCAAAACCAGCTCTTCGGTTAATAATTGAGGTGAAACTCACATTGATTGGAGGTGATTTGCTTGGCCTACTGCATCAACTATGATAATAAACATAGTGCAATAAACATAGTTACAGGTACGCGTAACTCTTAAAAACAACAATACAATATTGTTACATTTATAACAGGACACAACGCATGTTAGTAATGTGTGGATGCTAATTGGTGTGTTTTTGAATGGAGAGAGCTGGTTACCTGTATCTTCTAGACTTATGCTAAGCTAAGCTAATTGTTTAGCGCCCAGACCCATGAATGGTATCAAGCCTCTCAAATTGAGATTTTTATTTGATTAAACAGGAATGTGCTGAAAATAAGACATCTTTTCATTATGGGTATTTGTGTTTTTTATTCATCAAGCTGTGTGTTATCAGACAGTTTGGGTTGTAACAGCACAGCACACCTTTTAAACACCTTGACTCGCATAGCATACATCGACAGCTGATCAGCTTGTCATGAAGCTACTGAGTGATACTGGGCTCTCTGCACCCGGGGATTACTCTGGTATTTGTGATTTTGAGCTACACCAAATGAATTAAATTGAAACTTTTTTTGTGCAGGGACACGAGTAGCCAAAAGTAATCGCTTGTGAGATTAATCACTAAAGATAACATTTAACATTTGGGTTAGGGTCAAGGTCAGCCCACAGGCCTAAAGTCATTCAAGTGACACATTTATCTAACAAGAGTGCAAGGAGCAGACTTGTTTTCTCACCTCCTACGGAATCCAGCGTTGTGGGTCGGAGAGAGACTGGCAGGTACCGGCCACACTGTTCTGATTTGCAGCCCAAGAAAGCGAACAGCTTTGCATCCCTAGCGGGTCTCAGGGGTGGGAGCCTGGACGTGGTACCATAAATCCTGGTGACCGCGGTGGCCTGCGGAGGGTGCGCTGAACCCTGCATCAGGTTTATAATTAGAAACACACCTCCCTGCGTTCGCCTGCAGGAAGCAGCCCGGGCCTCCATGTGTGTGCTCGGCTCAGGACTAACAAAGAGAGGAAAGTGGACGCATGGGGCAGGCATGCGATGTGATCACAGTCGGGTATTTGAGCGCTGCGATCACCTCGTTAGAATGTGCAGGTGGATGGGAGGGCAGGATGGAGGGAATGTATAAGACAAGGTAATGAGGCAAAGGAAATGAACAGTCATACTTTTATTGTACGTTTCAATCGGACATCACTGAACTATGGGGTGACACTGGAGAACGAGCTCTGCAGGTTGACTCATACAAAGCAATGGGATTCAGTGCTGGCACGCACTACCATTCTCTGTGACAGAATGGGACAACAATTCAATCACTCTTTAACCCTTGTGTGGTGTTCATTTTTTGTTACTCAGCCGGCGTTGTAGGTCTGTTGGACCTGCTGTATTTTCGGGTATTTTAATTCAACACAATCAAACAATCCTATGTTAAAATACTCAACCGATGTTTACTTCATTCCAATTAGAAGCAACGTAAACTGCAAATATGGTTACAGTTTTTTCCGATTGCTAAACGACAGTGGGCACAACTGGAGTCACATGTGCAAAACTCTAACTCCAGTCTGCACTACTGCTGCACTACTAACAGTCACCTGAGCTAAACAGTTCACATCACCTGCAAAACTCGCTCCAAGCAACACACGACTCAAAACAGGCTCAGTGCAGCAAACACTGTGCACAAGCCTCAGTGAGAGAACACACACTGTCACTCAGAACACACTGAGAGTAAAAACACCAGCATCAAACACCAATACACTAAATACTAACTGTTCATCTTTACACTTTGAACCATTTCAGTGAATTCATACAAAGTAAGATTTTCTTCAGAGAAAAGAGTGACATTCTTTCACATGCCTTATTGAAATATATATATATATATATATATATATATATATACTTTTATATATATATATACTTATATATATATACACATATACATATATACATATATAATATATATATTATATACGTGTGTGTGTGTGTGTGTGTTCACTAATAAGTCTAAAATGAGACACCTGAAATCAGCAGTGATTGAAAGGCACAAGTTTGAAATCTATTTAGTTTTGAATGTGTGGTTCACAGTTTTTTAGCATTGTTTTAGCATTTGAACAAAGTGCTGTAAATCACTGTTGTGCAGGTTGTGGATAAGTCATGGGAAAAGTGTGTAGAGTTTTGAAAACTGTGTTCAAGCAATGAAAAATGAACTAGTTTGGTCCTCATGAACTGCTGCTGTGCAGACTGTAGTTAGAGTTTTGCACATGTGACTCCAGTTGTGCCCACTGTCGTTTAGCAATCAGAAAAAACTGTAACTCAAGTTAATGAGTGACATTATAATTTTATTGGCAAGCGTAGACCTGTTTTTCCTCGTAGTTCCTGCCCGTGGTCAGCTTCCTCTTTAGGAGCTCCTGTCCGCGTGTCCTCTAAGTCCCTGAGCCATGTCCAGGACAAGGCTCATCCCTTGATTTATATCAGGGTTTCCTCCATCAGGTCTCCCAGTGTACTTGTAAAACTAAAGCTAAGCAGGACCTATAATTTCCACACTTTTATTTGCCCCGGGTCCAGCATGTACAATATGTAATATGAATGGGACAGTGTGGGTTTGATAAAAATGTGGTCTGATATGTGTTCTTGGCAGAAAATGAGCCAAGGCCTTGAGTTTGAAAAAATAATGAACCGTGATATCTTTGTTTTAATAAAAAATAAAAACGGGTCCCACAAACCCGAACACCATACAAGGGTCTAATAAAGTGTATTTACACTGAGCACTTGTCAAAACCAAACGGAAATATGAATAAAGAGCGGTTTGGTTTCTAGAAAGTTAGAAAGGGGGATGATACTTTGCTGAGCTCTGCAGTGTTGCACATAGCTGCTGTTTCACCCCCCCGCCAATCACGGACCCCCTTGTCGGTGATCCACTATAACGCAGAGGAAATCCAAAACACATGGATGAGGCAAACCTTAAGTCTGATTAGAAACCTTATATATTAGTAATGGGAAATCCTGTTTTAGTAAGTGAAAACAGTTCCTTTTGTTTTACAGCCCCAAATACAGGAAATCCAACTGATCCCTGCTAACAGAAAATAAATGCTCCTTTTTTTTTAGAGGTGCTATGATAAGTGCAGCTTACAGTTGAACTCACAAATGCACCAATTCAATCTGCACACATTGTACTTTGCAGAATACAGTTAGTTCTTTGACACATTGTTATATTTATTATATGACAATTTTTACTTTTAACTGTGCTAATTCTAATTTTGAATTCTCCATAAAGACAAATGTCTGACTATTGATCTCATCCAATTCTTTGGCGAGTAAGTGGTTGTTACTTTGTATCATGATTTGTCTTTCAAAGGAAAAAGGAGTTCTTTGAGCCCCACCACTTTGGGAAGCCATGTTCTTGGACACACTTTCACGCCATCAATTGTTCCCACCGCCCTGGTAACGAGAGCCAAGGCAAAGATCTCACTGGTGGGATGTGTTTGAAAACAAAAAGAGTTAGGATTCACTGCTTCACCCCATGTTTTTTTTCCAGAAAGAGGGGAGGGGATGTGTTGTGGGGTAACACAGGGTGAGGCAGAGGGAATCCGACAATAGACAATGGACCACAACATCCATTGTGTCCTGAGGGGAGATGTCTTCCAGTTCCATTCGTGGAGCCTAAATATTCCATCCTTTGAACTGAACCCAAGATGTCCTTTTTTTTTTTGCTGATTTTAACAACACCGCATTCTTTCACCAGGGAATCCACAGCCCAGCCCAGTTCATTTCAAATGGAAAATGTGTACACAGCAACGGACAGTGTTCCTTATTTGGAACTGACGTTCCCATGTAACACTGGACGGGCTTATTCCCCATCTATCCATAAAAGGCTTTTTGATGGTTTTAATGTCAACCTGTTGCATTGACACTCACGAATCCAGCAAAGTTCACAGTTTAACATGCACAACATTAGCACCCATTTGACACACCGTGCCGCACTTCCCCCAATTGGACTCAACCTTTGCTTTATGATTTCCCTCCCAGAGAGAACTCATTGAGGCCGGCATTTAGGACTGGTTCTCACACCCGACCTCTAGACAGAAGCCTTGTGACCAAGGCCGCAACTTTGAATTCTTTGAAAGCGATGCCTCACTCAGTGGGGGGTTCCTGCTTAAAAGAGGAACGCGACTAGACCTCGGCCTCACAGGCTGCTGTAGGATGGAGGGAGGAAGACTGCTCTGCTCCCAAACAAAATAGCCCCAGAGTTCCCAGTGCCATTCCCAATCCGGTTTCACCTTCCTGATTGCTGGT